TACCTAACTAAGAAAATACCTAACAAAGTATTTTTCATCCATTCCTTTGTATTGGGGCAGTTTCTACATTTCACAGATTGGCTCTCTAAGATCAGAATCCCCATACTCTTCTTCCCAGAAGTCAGTGTCAGATGACTTCCATGTTCATCAGGCAACATCTTCCCAAGACTGTGTTGACACCTCACCTTCCAGTTTCGCAGTAGGAACAAAGTTTTACTATGCCTAATTTAAAAAAGCAACATGACGACAAGGATTCACACCAAAGAGTATTGTAGAGAGACAATGCAGATCTGTTGTGAAAGTTCTGGGTGACTGGTGCCTGAACCTGCATTCACACAAGATGTTCTCTAACAATGTGTGCTCACAATTTAGTTTAGCATGCCCATAGATTATAACCACACAATCTCATTAGTGAATGTCTGCGTTCATAAATGTAATTTAGAAACTAAGATAGATTACATAGAGAAGCACTTCTTAGCCGTATTTCAGTCTGCAGGCAGCAGTAATGTGGTTTTCTGGTTTCACATATTGGTCTAAAAAGGCTAAAGATTACATTTTGTTAAACCATTAACCATAGTAGAATCCCTCAACCTGTGGGCTGAAACTTTGGGCAGTGCCTCTTCTTATTGGCCAGATGCTGAAACAATGGAAGATGCTTTCATTCATTCATTCATTCATTCATTAACAGTATTTATTTCACATTAAGATGCATAGCAAGATGATGGACACTGGTCCACCTTGGCTGCTGCTCTATATCCAAGTCTATGTTCTACACTTTTCTTTGCTACAATTACCGTAAAATCTGGACTATTGAGCGCACCTGACTATAAGCCGCACCCATTTTTTGTACATATATAGGCCGCACTTGACTATAAGCCGCAGGTGTCCACGCTGTAACATGAGATATTTACACAGAAAGATGAGTCAGTTCTTCACGCTGCCTTCTCCAACGTCTCACCATCCATTCATTGATGCCAAGCTCACGTGCAGCAGCTCTATTTCCTTCTTTGACAGCCAGATCGATCGCCTTGAACTTGAAAGCTGCATCATATGCATTTCTTTGTGCATTTTCCAAGATGAGGGTGTGTGCATGAAGCGCAAAATGACTGATCTGAAGAATTTAGTGTGAGTGCATTTGATTTAATTCGAACAGTTTCATTGGTCCACTGTGAACTGTTCGGTAATTTTGTTGGTCTGATGTGACGAGGCTAAATGTATTGGCGGCACGAAGCTCGTTGGCCCGTAAAAACCCATGAATTAGCCGCATCATTGTATAAGCCGCAGGGTTCAAAGCTTGTGAAAAAAGCAACGGCTTATAGTCCAGATTTTACGGTACTGCTATCTGTGGTTTTTAATATGTTTGGTAAGGTACTCTTGAAGCCGTCCCTGGTAGGCTAGTGGTTAAGGCGCAGCGCTCTCACCACTGCGCCCTGGCTTCGAATCAGGGTTGTGTCAGGAAGGGCATCCGGCGTAAAACACATGCCAAATGTCAACATGCGAGTCGTCAGTGTGACGATTCGCTGTGGTGACCCCTAAACGGGAAAAGCCGAAAGTGACTTTCTTTCTTGGTAAGATGCTCTTGTAAATTCCAGGTTACAAGTTATTGACTGCACTCCTGACTATCACACTTTTATTGGGTTTGTGTCTCTAGCTTGATTCACTGGCTGATTTACCAGTGAAGTTATGTTTCCAGCTAGCTCCTGAGGGGTTCCCGGTACTGACCCATAGAGCTCCTTCATTGTGCAGCTACTTGGTGTCCCATATTGATGGCTAGCCTGGTGGTGGGTGTGCGAATTATGTTGACTTTTGGTTTCCTGGCCTGGTCCTTCAAAGTACATGCCAGTAAACATTTCCTGAATGACTTTTAACATTAATGTACTGTATTTTCTGCTGTTTACCTTGAGATTACTCCTGAAAGGTTCCTAGTAGTGAGCCATAGTGCTGATTTGTTGTTCAGCTACTGGTGTCCCATATCAATGGCTATCACCAGCCCGTGGCCTTTTGCTTTTTCTGCCATGATTCTGACATCCTCCTACTAGATCATGGCATAGTTGTACTCCACTCTAGGCCTTCTATGCTTTAATCTACATCTGGACTGCTTTGACACTCTCAGAAAAGCTAGGAAACTTCACAGAATCCATCATTCACATGGAGGCTCTGGCTGTC